TTCAGTTTTGTGGGAAAACACTTTCGCCCCGGGGAGGCATTGAGTAGGACTTCCTCAGCAGAGGCTGTTTGAGACGTTTGGTCATGTAGGAGCACTTCGTGAGGTGCAAGGGAAGGGTGACCAGCCGTAGCTCTAGACACCCACCCCCGACCATAAAGAGGCTTTCTCATCGATGATACGCGTCACTGGACCCCTCACATTCAACATACCGTTACTAAACTGCAACGACTTTCTTTCCACATCCGTAAAAGTCGTCAAATTCAAATCCAATTGTGTCCAATTTTATTTATCAGTTTTTTGTCGTTTTACATCATTGTTTACCTGCTGTTTATTAATCTCTTGAAGAAAAGCTTTGAGATGTTTCAACTTGGACTGACCATCACGAGCCTCGCGTTTTCTGTTCCTCAAGAGGATTCGGTAGCTAATCTACGTGTGAACGTCATTTGAACGCATGCAAAACGTTTTCACACAAGACTCATCGATCCCACACATCCACTGCTCACAGATTCAATTTACTGTGGTCCACATCAGGGAAGTAGATCTCAATATCGTTTTGTTCCTTCTCGTTTCAACATAAATCGTAACTACATGGAACCCTCTCTAGCACATATTCTGGTTAAAAAAGAACAGGGTTTCATGGATCTTTTTAAAAGTTTTGGGACGCAACATGTTTCTGTCTTTCTTTTTCTCTATTTTATACACGTCTAACTAAAATTAAGGCTTTACACCCACAGAAGTTATAATGAGAATAATACAATCATACGGCGTTGCTGTTGAGAAACCTCTAAAGAATCAACGGCTCACCTCACATTTTCTTTACCCGTTTGTGGAATTCCATCTGGGTGAGAGAAAACACAGAATTAGAAAGTAAATAACCTGTGGTTAACTTGATACTCCACCCACGCGAACTTATGATTTCAGCCGCAAGAAAAAGCTGGTCGTTTGGGCCCGCTTTTTGATTGCACAGTAAATTTGAATCCAGAAGGCTTAAGGCATGTAAAGAGCAACAGTGAAATTGAAATTTCTCATGTGATGATGGATGAACCAATATGTTCTAAAGGAAAAAATATACGTTCATCTTTAACGCAAGTAGACAGAACGTTACACTTTATTGTTGACAAAATGTTGAAAATCGGTTTTCGTAACTCGGGTGAACTGAATTCTATTTCGCCTGTTCGCCGAGCTTGGCAATTTGTTTGCAAACGTTTCATCACCAGCCGAGGTGACATCATCAGTGCTTGTGAAGTGTAGTGTTCTGTCTGTAACCGTTAGTTTATATATACGTTCTTCTCCACCGGCTATTTTCGTCCCCTGTTCTCACTCGGTTCAACTCGGTCCGCCGTTGAAC